CGGAGTCAGACGTTGGGACCGTTGGGATTCCTGTGGATTACATGTGGATTACATGTGGGTTACATTGGATTGCTCAATTCTTTTTCCCCTGCCAGGGACATTCAGGGGCTCTAGACGACTCTACATGTTCAAAAAAGATCCTGGATACTTCCGGACGGCCGGGACACTGGAAAGCCGGACACCGGACACTCCCGGACACCCCTTCCTCGCTAACATCATTGCCAGCTTGTTTGCCAGCCTCCTCTACACAGCTCTCTCGCGAGCTCGCCAGCTTTCGGGCCCGGCAATACTGGACCCTATGGCAAGCTCGCCAGCTCTCTGGGCCCTGCAGGACCCGAACACTACGCCAGATAAACTGTACAGATAGAATCTCAGATAATGCCGGACAAAATGAAGGATAGAATTTATAGAATAATTTGCCAGATAAAATGTCAGAATAACGTCAAGTAGCGTGCCATATAAAATGCCGGATAGAATGCCAGAAGAATGTCAGCGTATAATATATGCCAAATAGAATGCCAGATAAAATGTCAGATAGAATGGCAGATATAGTATGTCAGATAGAATGTCAGATATAGTATGTCAGATAGAATGTCAGATATAGTGTGTCAGATAGAATGTCAGATATAGTGTGTCAGATAGAATGTCAGGATATATGTCAAATAAAATGTCCACAGCACGAGGCTCAAACTCCCATTGCCAAGGTGCTTTGTCCTCGTTGGAGCCTTTGACCTCACCTGGATCAGTTTGGGTAACTGGGCGTCTGTGAAAATGGGAGGTACCTCCAAGAAAGCAACGGTTCTAGGGAAGATGAAATGAGAAACCTGTGGATCTAGGGGTGCCCTATTTTAAACAAACCAAACTGTTTCCTCATTTTGTTCATAGATTGGCTTGAAAAAATTGGTAATTCCCGCAAAGTGAGATTCCCAATTAGAATTGCCAAAATGTGGTGCATGCCCGTCCCCATGATCTGCTACAAATCACCGCCAGTGCAGGACATGATGAACCCCCTCTCATTTGCAACCCCTTTAGCCAGCTGAAAAACAGAAACCCCTTTGATGCTTTGGATGTCTTTGGATCCATAAACCTCGATACCACGGGACACGACCCCTGACGTGAAGAAATGGCATGGGAGATACTCATCATGGAGCATACCGGGGGTTATAACATCTTATATAAAACAGTTCTCGTTTGATTTATCTTTATTTACATATTTTTATTTATTCATCCGTTTGTATCCCACTATTTTTGGTTATACCCCCACTATATCCCCATAAATTCCCATGAAATGACCCACAAATGACCCACCCATTTCGGTCCAACATGGCGCCCTGGCGGGCCCTGGCGCCTAAGATTTTGGCCCAGTCGTGGGGCTTCAAGGGCGCCAGTTTGGGCCAAATCCGCGGGGGCTGCGGAGAACCGGAGGGGAGCACGAACAAGCTGCTGGGGCTGCTGGGGCTGCTGGGGCTGCTGGGGCTGGGCTCCCGCTCACCTGAGGCAGGTTAGCTGAGATTTTGACCTGGAGACTGATACCAGGAAGATTTTTTAATGTTTCACCCCACAGAAAAGAATGGCCGTTTGGTGGGATACACCAAATTCTCTATGGGTTTATTTTGGGCGTCCCCCCATGCTGGAAGAGTGAGTAGTGAAGGTTAGTAGGACACCATGTCTCAAATAGCGGCCAGTAGGGCAGGAGGAAATCCAAAGGGATCCATATCCAAAGACTACCTGCAAAAAATCCATGATTGCTCTATGTTCCTCCATTTAGTCGCTTCAAAGAGAACCCCAACACAAAATTGCCATGTTTAGTTCATGGTGGTAATTACTTGAATCCCAACAATTTGGTGCCTAATGGCCAGCTTCTTGAAGGCTCAGCCTGGGTTTTTAGTGATTGGTCACCATGCTTTCAACGGAGAACGCCATTGAAAAAACCACGTCCTCAGGGTGTCTCGCACCTTCCTGCGCTATGCGCTTCTGCAGCTTCTCTTGATGCTCCCGACAGATCTCCTCCAAATCGGAGATCAACCTGGGAGGAGTTGAACGACCAGCAAAATGAGTGGTTTTACATGGTGAAAACCATGAACTGTATAAGGTTTTACCACCAAAACACATGGGTGTTGCACTGGTTTTACCACCAAAAACGGGAGTTTTACCAGCAATATGATTTCAACCACCCGGAAATTAACTCCCAAAACTGTGAGTTTAAACACCAGAATGCAAGTTGAACGACAAGAAGGCAAACTAACCACAAATATCTGGAGATCACCAAAACATAGTTTCAGCCATATTCGAATGAGAAGGATTCAACTGCAAAAATATTGGAGTTTGAATGGGGAGAACAGTGGGGTCCAGGAGGCCAGGAATGTCTCTGTCCCGAGACGGTTTCTCTCGGGTGGATCCGATCTGGTCAGGTTGTCATCCGAGTGGCCTTTTGACAGCTTCAGGGTCCATGTCTCAGCAGCTTAGGTCCACATCTCCCCCCGTGATTTGTTGAACTTCTCCGGTGGGAATCTCAGCATGTTTTGGTGAGGTCTGGCACTGTGGGCAAGGGGGGGCACAAATTGTCGAATTGATGCTTAGTTCGTCATTGCTAATCTGCTAATCCTACTCTCAAGATCTTTCCTGCCCATAAGAACTTTCTGAAGTCTTCACGACCCCTGGCTGCCGAGCCAAGCTTGAGCCAACAGAACAATGAACACCCCAAGAAAATCCAGTGTGACCTCCCTCAACCCAAATGCTCCACGTACGACAGGCAAATTTGCCAACGCCCCAAGTGACTTGCCAAGTGACCTTCAAAATGACCCAAATGATCTCACATGCATATATACGTCCTCGAAAGCCAGCCTGGAACTTCAGAAACTGGGGCCATGCAAACTGTTTTTTACAAAAAACATTGCCATTTTGAAGCTCCAGCTCAGATTCGGGTTTGTCTGAAAACAGGTACCGGAACCTCATGGTTTATCATAATTTTCCCCATTGGAATTGCCATAGATGGCGTGTTGGAAAATCCTCCAGCCCTATGGTTTTCCCAACTATGAACCTCCATGTACCAGGATTTTTCCATATTTTCCCATGAAATTCCCATCAAAACCTCCATTGTTCATTGGGGATTTCCGCCAGCTGATGATGCTGCCACTCCTGGTTCTGGGCACTATTGATCAAAGCATACCTGAAGCGATGGTTTGCGTTGGACATGTAACATGCATATACATATAAGTATGGATTTAGATGCAAACATAGTGTAGATGATATGTAGGTGTAGACATGCATGCATGCATGCATGTCTGTCTGTCTGTCTCTGTCTGCCTCTGTCTGTATGTATGTATGTATGAATGTATGTATGTACGTGCGTACCTATGTACGTATGTACGTATGTACGTATGTAGGTATGTACATATGTACGTATGTACGTATGTCCGTATGTCCGTATGTGCGTATGTGCGTATGTACGTATGTGTACGTATGCACATATGCATGTAGGCACGTATGCACGTATGCAAGTAAGTAAGTAGGCACGTAGGTACGTAGGTACGTAAGTACGTAGGTACGTGGGTACGTAGGCACGTAGGTACGTAGGTACGTAGGTATGCAGGTATGCAGGCATGCAGGTATTCAGGTATGCAGGTAGGTAGGTAGGTATGTATGTGTGTCTGTGTGTGTGTCTGTGTGTGTGTGTCTGTGTGTGTGTGTCTATGTGTGTGTGTGTGTCTGTGTGTGTGTCTGTGTGTGTCTGTGTGTGTGTGTCTGTGTGTGTGTCTGTGTGTCTGTGTGTCTGTGTGTCTGTGTGTGTCTGTATGGATGGATGGATGGATGGATGGATGGATGTATGTCTATCTGTCTATTTGTCTATCTGTCTATCTGTCTATCTGTCTATCTGTCTATCTGTCTATCTGTCTATCTGTCTATCTGTCTGTCTATCTGTCTGTCTGTCTGTATGTATGTATGTATGTGTGTATGTGTACACATATATATATATATATGTGTGTGCGTGTGTGTGTCTATATTTATTTAATTTGTTCGTCAGTTCGCTGTTTAGATTTTATCTATTTACTTATCTATTTGTTGATGCGTTTCTTCAGCCTAGAATAATGTACTGGTGCAGCCGCCGGGTCAGGTTCAGCGAGGTTCCGGAGAAGGTTCCGGAGAAGGTTCCAGAAGGTTCCGGGAGGCTTTGGGGAAAGTTCCGGGAGGCTTTGCTGCAGGCGCCAACTTAGGCTCAACAAGGTTCCGGAGAAGGTTCCGGAGAAGGTTGCAGAGAAAGGTTCAACAAGGTTCCGGAGAAGGTTCCGGAGAAGGTTCCGGAGAAGGTTCCGGAGAAGGTTCTGGAAGGCTCGAGCAGGCGTCAGGTCAGAGAAGGTTTCGGAAGGCCTTTGGTGCAGGCGCCGGGTCAGGTTCAACAAGGAGAAGGTTCCCGCAGAGGTTTTGGGAGGCTTTGGTGCAGGTGCCAACAAGGTTCCGGAGAAGGTTCGGGAAGGCTTCGGTGCAGGCGCCGGGTCTGGTTCAACAAGGTTCCGGAAAAGGTTCTGGAGAAGGTTCCGGAGAAGGTTTCGGAACGCTCTGGTGCAGGCGCCGGGTCAAGTTCAACAAGGTTTCGGAGAAGGTTTCGGGAGGCTTTGGTGCAGGCGGCAGGTCAGGTTCAACAAGGTTCCAGAGAATGTTCCGAAAGGTTCCGGAAGGCTCTGGCACGTCAGGATCAACAAGGTTCCGGACCCGGAGGCGCCAGGTCAGGTTCAACAACGTTCCGGAGAAGGTTCCGGGAGGCTTTGGTGCAGGTGCCGGGTCAGGTTCAACAATGTTCCGGAGAAGGATCCGGAAGGCTCTTGTGCAGGTGCCAGGTCAGAGAAGGTTCTGGAAGGCGTTGGTGGAGAGCCAGGCCAGGTTCAACGAGGTTCCGGAAGGCGCCTGAGAAGGTTACGATGGAGGTTCCGGAGGAGGTTCCAGAAGGTCTTGGTGCAGAGGCGGGCCAAGTTCAACGATGTTCCGGAAAAGGTTGCAGAGAAGGTTCCCGAGAAGGTTCCGGAAGGTCTTGGCCAGGTCCAACAAGGTTCCGGAAGGTTCCAGAGAAGGTTTTGGAAGATGTTGGTGCAAAGCCGGGCCAGGTCCAACGAGCTTTCGGAGAAGGTTCCGGGTTAGGTTCAATGAGGGTTCAAGTAGGTTTCGGTGCGATTCCGGGAGTGTGTCGGCGCAGCTTTTAGGTCAATTTCCAGCCAATTTCGGACGAACAATTCTGTGAAAACAAATTACTATTGCGTTGGGGATGCCACAAAAGCTTATTTTTTATGTGTTTATGTGTGTGCGATATGTATGTATGTATGTATGTATGTATGTATGTATGTATGTGTGTGTGTATGTGTGTATGTATGTGTGTGTGTATGTGTGTGTATGTATGTATGTATGTATGTATGTATGTATGTGTGTGTGTATGTGTGTATGTGTGTATGTGTGTATGTGTGTACGTGTGTACGTGTGTATGTGTGTGTGTATGTATGTATGTATGTATGTATGTATGTATGTATGTATGCATGCATGGATGTATGTATGTATGTATGTATGTATGTATGTATGTATGTATACATACGGCAAATGCCTGGGCTCTGCCCCGAACCGCAACGACGACGGGCAGTGCGTCATCATCATCATCATCACCACCACCATCATCACCATCATCATCATCATCATCGTCATCATCATCATCATCATCCTCATCATCATCATCATCATCATCATTCATCATATTCACCATCGTCATCATCATCAACAACATCATCATCATTGATCATCAACAACACCCCAATACCTTTGTTGATCTTCCGAATTGAATGATATTAAATGTAAAGTTTAACGGGGGTGGGATTTTGATAGTCCCTAATACCTTTGTCGATCTTGCCAATTAAATATAACGTTTAACGGGGATGGGATTTTGATAGTCCCTAATACCTTTGTTGATCTTCCCAATTGAATGTAGAGTTTAACGGGGGTGGGATTTGAATATTCCCTAATACCTTTGTTGATCTTCCCAATTGAATGTAGAGTTTAACGGGGGTGGGATTTTAATATTCCCTAATAGCTTTGTCGATCTTCCCAATTGAATGTAGTGTGTAACGGGGGTGGGATTTTGATATTCTCTAATAACTTTGTTGATCTTCCCAATTGAATGTAGAGTTTAACGGGGGTGGGATTTTAATGTTCATATTCCCTAATACCTGTTGATCTTCCCAATTGAATGTAGAGTTTAACGGGGGTGGGATTTTTATATTCCCTAATACCTGTTGATCTTCCCAATTTAATGTAAAAGTTTTACGGGGGTGGGTTTTTATTATTCCCTAATACCTTTGCTGATCTTCCTAATTAAATGTAAAGTTGCAACAACATTTGATTGGGAATGGGAACATGTTTTAAAATTCCAGGTTCTATCTACCTCAGGATGACTACAATAAAGGTAGCATATCAAGAATACGGTTGTCATAGCCCACCCACGGGCTATATAATCTCCATAGATCTCCATAGTGTTCTTAGACAGGCAGGTGTAATCCCATCCCCCTAACACCAAACACCCCCAGAAAAATTGGTTAATAGGAGATTTACACAGATGTAAGGGGTGCTTAATATATGTTCCTCTGTGCCATGGGATTAGTTAACTTCATCTGAACCATGAAAAATTCCCCCTATCCCATCTCATTGTACTAGTTGGTAGGTTTACTATGGGCTATCATAATCCAAAAAAAAATAAGGTAATGTCGTAAACCATGGGTTAATAATGTAGTATAAGTCCCAATATTAATCGATCAACCCGGGTCTATTTTTCTAATCGCTCACCTCTCTGGAGAACCCGAGAACCCGCCCGTGCGGACAATCTCTGTAAGAAGTCTTTGACTGCTTCTTCCGCGACCTCAGCTTGGCAGCATTGGATCGGGCATACAGATCAATGTGTTTTTACGTAATCAAATAGAGAGAGAGAGAGATACATGTGTGCGTGTGTGCAGATGGATATGGATGTCCGATATTTGATATTTGATCTTCATAATTATTGGAAACTATATGATATCCTGAACATCCAAAGGCCCTAAAAATATAGGTCGGTAGAGATGTACCTAGAACTGTTTTGAAAGACTAACAAATGTTACCTTGCTACAGTAATGGGCCAGGCCAATTTTCAAAATAAATTAGCGGATGTGAAGGGCTGTCAAAGCACGTTTTTTGGCACCGGTGTCGTGTCCATGTCAATTCGTCTTTCCACGACAATTCTAGTTCGTAAAGGGGCTGCCTTGTTCTTGGTGAGAAAAGACTGACTTTTTTCGAAAGCGAGACACAAGTACATTACTCCGAATCCGGCGGAATGAGTCTTGAACTGCCCATTTGGGTCAACCAAGCAGGTTCCCAATTGAACCTTAGAACCTTATCATGTAGACAAACGTATAACGTGTAGTTACATACAAATCTATGTCGGCCTTGCAAACCTAGGTCGAGACCTGAAATTAAATGGGTACTGTATAGTACTGT